ATATTTAATATACTCTTAATTTATATTTTTAAAGTACATATTAATACTCACTGATTAAGATGTTTTTAATTAATTTTATACAAACTTTCATATTAAATTTATAACATTTTATAAATTTTGAATACAAATATTATACTATATTTTATTTAAATTTTATATAAAAATTTATATAAAATTAACTAATAATATTACAATTAATAAAATTTAACTTATACACTAATAACACATGTTAGGGAACCTTTAATACAGAAAAGCCATCCCCTAATCATTTTTCTTATCCGGAAGTACTTCCCACTCTCCCCCAACAGGCGCATGGTGGAGTTCATCTTCCATGGTAAAATCAAAATCAAAACTGTGCCTGGCCCCCACACACTTCGCTCTTTCTCTATCCCCTCCGTGTCTGTGCTCTGTTTGCCTGCAGTTTTCACCATATCAACACTTTCTCTCTCCTCAGTTTCTTTTCTTTTTTTTTTAACCCTCTAAAGTCTAAAGTCTAAACCATTGATTTTTATTTTTATTTTTATTTTTTTTGTCTCCCAGAAATGCAAACGGTGATACGTGATTTACAGAGGCTTTAAGGTTCAGTAATTTGTCATCTGGGTTTGTTTCTTTTTTCTTACCCTTTTGGAGTTCTTCAAAGCTGGAAAGGATTTGAAAGAAGTTGAGAAAGCAAAGTCCTTTGCTTCTTCTTCTTCCTCTTGGGTCTTGAATCCCTTCTTTGCCTTAGATTCAGCTTCATTTTTGTCCCTTTCTTTCAGGTACCTTTCAATCAACTTTCTTCACTTTTCCTTTCTATATTTTTATCTTTATGAAGTTTGAAGATTTACTCGAAAGGTAAGATTTTTAGTTTCTTTTTGGTTGATCCCTTTTATGTGGTGGATTACCCATGTTTGAATCAATCTTGTTTTTAGATTCTAGGGTTTTGAATTTACCTTCTCTTAGTTGGGTTTCTATTTATATCTGTTTGACTGTGGTTTTTTCAATGCCTGGGGCGGTATACATGGCTACTTGGCTGCAATTTTTTTAACTTCTGTTTTGGTATTTTTTTGCTGGAATATCCTGCTTGGACGGCACAAGGATTTATTTTTAGTTTATTTTTCAGCTAAACTGTCCACCCTCTGGCAATAATTGTCTCAAGCTTACATCTGGTTGGCACAAGAAGAATTGTTGCTTTTGACATGATATGAGTGAGATTTAGAAGTTGTGGGTTGAGACTCTTTTGCTATTAATTATAGTAAAGAAATGGATCAAAAGGACGGTGAGAATTGGAGACAAATGGTCAGGAAGATGCTTCCACCTGGTGCCTCTCTACCAGAGGATTCATCTGAGCTTGACTATTCTATAGCTCTGGAGTATCAGGGTCCTCCAGTCCCTTATGAGGTGCCGAGAGTCGAGCCTGTTGATGTAAATTCTTCTGGGATTCCTACAGCAGAGCCACTGTCAGAGTCACAAAGATCAGTTGCTGGTTCAGGTCCCCCAGTGATTGAACCAATTCTCCTGCCTGTGTCTTGTATTGCTGGTGTCGCGAGTCCACCTGCTCAGAGTCCTAGGGTTTCAGCAAGCTCAGAGTCAGTAGTGTCTGTATTGCAAAACCCTAACTTTTCTTCAGCTTCCCCATCAGCTTCTCCTGCATCTGTGCGAAATCCTCCTAGTCATCTTCCAAAACAAGTTGTTATTAATGAAGGAAGGAGAGTGCCAGTTGTTACATTTAATACTGTTGATAGATCAGAAAGGAAAGAGGTTGATGTAGAGAAACCAGTTTATCCGGAGTATGTTGAGGTTTCAAAAGAAACGAGGAAGAAGAAAAATAGAAGAATCTGTTATCGGTGTGGTAAGGGAAAATGGGAAACCAAGGAATCATGTCTGGTTTGTGATGCTAAGTATTGCAGCAATTGTGTGCTTAGGGCAATGGGTTCCATGCCTGAAGGGCGCAAGTGTGTAACATGTATTGGTCACCCAATTGATGAGTCAAAGAGGTTGAAATTGGGTAAACATTCAAGGTTATTGTCCCGATTGCTCAGTCCTTTGGAAGTAAAGCAGATTATGAAAGCAGAAAAGGAATGTTCTGCTAATCAGCTTCGACCAGAGCAACTAATTGTAAATGGTCTTCCTCTGAAGCCAGAAGAAATGGCTGAGTTGCTTGGGTGTCCTTTGCCTCCAAGCAAGTTGAAGCCTGGCCAGTATTGGTATGACAAGGAATCTGGGCTTTGGGGAAAGGTGAGTACATATGAGATGTTATATGATATATCTTTCAATCTTTTTACCACTTAACCTACTAATCTGAGGTCAAAAAACATTTTTGTCCCTTCTAGATTACTGAGCTCTGATATAACTGTCTTTATTTCTTGATTGGCAGGAGGGGGAAAAACCAGATAGAATTATTAGTTCAAACTTAAATTTTACTGGGAAGCTTAGCCCTTATGCTAGCAATGGGAACACTGAAGTTTATATCAATGGACGTGAGATTACAAAACTTGAGTTGAGGATGCTGAGAGTAAGGCCTTGGTTTTAAGTTTTACTAATGCACATCTCATTGACTATTGCTCTCTTTCTGTGAGAAGTGAGAACCTTTTATTCTTTGGTTCTTTGCATCTTGAGTTTGGAAAGTCTGTGTCCCACTTCTGTTTGTAGCTGTCAAACATTTATTTCTCTGCATTTCAGTTTCCTAAGATATGTCCTTTTTTTTTTTTTTTATCACTTTTTTGGTTCTGTTATTTTCCTTCTTTGATTTATTAGAGTAAACATGTCTTTTGCATGGATACTGCATAACAAGTGAAGATGGTAAAGTTTCATAATGCGTACAATTGTTCTTCCCTCTCATATTTCTAGTCAGATTGAAATCATTGCTGACCTATCTATTTAACATTTTCAGTTGGCAAATGTTCAATGTCCACGAGACACTCATTTTTGGGTTTATGATGATGGCCGTTATGAAGAAGAGGGTCAGAATAACATCAGGGGAAACATCTGGGAGAAGGTGTGTATGGCAAATTTAGAAAATTGTTGCACATATTAGATCATGGCTATTGTATGTGACAAGGTCTGGATTTCATTTTTTTTGCTAGACAGGCATCAACACGGTTAGTCTGTACCCTGTTCTCTTTGCCTGTGCTCCATGGTCAGCCTCGTGGAGTAAGAGATGAGACCAGCAATTACACCACCGTTCCTAATTATCTAGAACAGAAAAGGATACAGAGGCTCCTACTACTGGGGCTTCAAGGCTCTGGAACCAGCACAATATTCAAGCAGGTTTGTGTTTTTCCTTTGGTGCTTTTAATGCACCAGTCACTATTGTCATTTAAAGGATTAATGATTGTGGTTTATGGTGTTATTCTAACAAGTGTCTTTTTTTTTATTATTATTATTAAAAACGAAAAAAAAAAGATGATAAGTTTAAGGATGTATACGTATATGGTTAGAAGAAAAGTAAACATCTCTCTTTTAATGCACAGCTTTCCATTTTTTTTTTTCCTTTGTCTTTCTAAGTAAACATGATATGGCTAGAACAACAAAAGGAAGTTAGAGAATTGTGTATTTACTAGATATAATAAATTAATTTGAAACCAGTTTTAGCAATGAGGATGCTCTAATTCGAACAACTTTCCCATTTTCGGAAAGTGTCTTGGACTGGAAAGAGAATTTAATGTGCTCTAATTCGGCATGTCTTTAACAGCCTGACTTGACTTAAGTAATAATATGCTTGGTTTTCTCATCTGGGCTTTGAAGATTGAGATTTAATCATTTAAAGAAACATCTGCTGGGTAAATGAATGGAATTGTGGATATTTTATTGGCAACTATGTTCATTCAAACAGGCCAAATTTCAGTATGGGAATAGTTTTACCCCAGAGGAACTGCAGGATATTAAGTTGATGATTCAGAGCAATATGTATAGATACCTTAGCATATTGCTTGATGGACGGGAGCGGTTTGAGGAGGAGTTCATGTCTAGAATGAAAGAATCAGGCTCCCATGATCAAAATTCCAAAGCAGGTCATTCTTCCTAACATCATTACAACATCTGAAAATGTATTATTGTCTACTGGTAAAAGGAAGTTGCTGTTCAAATTCAATAGCATTTCCAATATATTAAAATTGTTGTTCTGTTGTTTTTTTAAGGTGGAGAAGCTGACCCCAGTGAAACTAATCAGTGTATTTATTCCATAAACCCGCGGTTAAAACATTTCTCTGATTGGCTGCTGGACATTATAGCCACGGGAGATTTGGATGCATTTTTCCCTGCAGCAACACGTGAATATGCACCATTAGTTGAAGAGGTATGGAGAGATCCAGCCATACAGCATACATACAGAAGGAAAGATGAGCTTCACTTTCTTCCAGATGTGGCAGAGTACTTCCTTAGCCGGGTATTCCATCCCTACTCCTATCAGCATTGTATCATCTCATAATCTTTCATGTGTTAGTCATATAGATTATTTACTTTATACCATTTATTTGATACTTTCGCCCACTCTCACCCTTATGTCTGGGCGAGTAAGCATGAGTATATTTGCCAATTTTGGGTTCTTCCTGAAAAGTGAACCTTCCAGTTATTCTTAATAAAGAACATTCCAAAAGTAGGAGCCTCAGGAAGTACAAATATGAATTATGATTGAGAGCCTACATAACATGCTCTTGTTTCTTTCAGGCAGTTGAAGTGTCAAGCAATGAATATGAGCCTACAGAACGTGACATTCTTTATGCAGAAGGGGTCACCCAAGGAAATGGTTTGGCTTTCATAGAATTTTCACTTGATGATCGTAGCCCAATGTCTGAAACCTACACTGACAATCTAGAAGCTCCACCCCCGCCTCTGACCAAGTATTTTTATTTCTTCTATTTCTCTCTCTAGCCAACAATGCTCCTGGCTATTAGACAGAATATTTACGCCAAAAGAAAAAAAAAAAATCAATTTGTTTTAAAGAAAGGTCTTAATTCTTCAAGCTAATTCCAATCTTTTGTTCTTACAGATATCAACTTATAAGGGTAAATGCAAAGGGGATGAATGAGGGGTGCAAGTGGGTTGAAATGTTTGAAGATGTGCGTGCTGTAATCTTCTGTGTTGCCCTTAGTGATTATGATCAAATGAGCATTACCCCAGAGGGTAGTGGCAGCGGAACACTAGTTCAGAATAAGATGATTCAGAGCAAGGAACTATTTGAGACAATGATCCGGCACCCTTGCTTTAGGGACACCCCTTTTGTTTTGATACTCAACAAGTATGACCTCTTTGAGGAGAAGGTCACTCGGGTGGCTTTAAATGCTTGTGAGTGGTTCAGTGACTTCAGTCCAGTAGGGCCTCGCCACAACAATCAGGCACTGGCTCAGCAGGCATATTACTATGTGGCAATGAAATTCAAAGATCTTTATGCTTCACTCACAGGTCGGAAGCTTTTTGTGTGGCAAGCTAGGGCTAGGGACCGACTGACCATTGATGAGGCATTTAAGTATATAAGGGAAATTCTCAAGTGGGATGAGGAGAGAGAAGATAACTTGTACGTTGGTGGGGAGGATTCATTTTACAGCACGGATATAAGCTCCTCGCCATTTGTGAGGCAGGAGTAACTTGCTTTCGTAATTTGTCTGTATTTTTCGTAGAGGAAATTGTAAAGATGTTCTGGTTGTGTCTCTGCTTATGCAAATAAAATTTGCAATTTTCAATAATACCATCCTCCATTACAGCACTTCCTAGGAAGATGAGGGGAAGGGAAGCACTTTCTAGTGGATTTTTGGACATGCAAAGATTTAGACTGACATTCATGGGAGAGGGGAATAAATTTTCTATGAAAATTCCCAGTAACCAAACACATGTACGAGAAAGAATACTCCCACAATAGTGGATCTCTAATTGAAATTTCAAATGCAGTTCAATAAATAGGGTAAAAGGATGTTGCTTCTGATTTTCCAGATCCTTGAGCATCATAAATGCCAAAAGTGAAGTACATGGTAGCTGCTCCTTTAGAGAAAAGGATTCGAGAAAACGATAACTCAATATCTGAAGGAAGCATACAAAGCTGGCTCTACCGCCCACACAACTTAGATTAGTCTCTTTCTCCTCTTTGCTAACCATTGCCTCTTCGAATTATCCAATGAAGAAATTGTTACAATTGGGCAGAAAGGAACTATAACAAAACTATGATGCAACAAGATCTGGTGTTTCAGCTTCGATGGAAGACAAAGCAGTGTGCACTCTGCCCATCCAATTATCCAACCGATCACGCAATGATATGATCTGGGGAATCCCCAACACTCTTGGTTGCACCCAGGACACATGAACCGTTCCATCAACTTGATCAATTATACCCTCGATAAGATGAACCTACATTGAAAATCACTAATGCTTAAACAAGTTCTCAATATACTTTTCAGTTCTGCACATAGAGAATGAAAATAATAATAATAAGAAGAAGAAAGAAGAAACTATACTTCTTTGTGTTTAATTATTACCATCCTATGATTCAAAGTTCTTGGGTGTTGAGACATTTCAACTAGTATATTTCTTCTGTATTCTCTAACAATGTGTACGTTTCTTTGGTTTGAATCAAAAGTTAAACAAGTTCACTAAAAATTAAGACAGAATCACCCTTCATTAACTCAGGTATTCTTTTTGTTAACCCATACTTCACATCCACATGATAAAGGATGATGAGAGAGAAGAAGAGAGTTGTTGAACTTACAGACAGGCTCTTTATCAGAAGATGCTCCACATCCTCGATTGAGAGCCTTGTGCGCTCAGCAATGATAGACAAGGGGATTGTCCGATCTTCAGATGGCCGGCTGCATTGCAAAAGCTTTAAGTTTAGTGTGCAAACCATATTTACAAATATCTCCAGATAATTGCAAGGTTAATTGACAGCATACAGAAAATGCACACCTGAAGATGATTTCTGTCAGGCAGAGAATATTAATTTTTTCCAGAAGCTTCTGCTCATTCTCAAGTAATGCAGGCTGGGCCCTCAAAGCAGCATCGTGCACATGACATAACTCTTGATAGCGAACCAAATCACCAGAGTTGAAAGCCTCGAGAACATAGTAGAGCCACTCAACCCTGGTTCCTAGAAGGCTCTTTATCTGTAGAAGACATGGAAGATTTCATCACCTCATATGCAAAAAAAACTTACAAGCATGACACTTAGTCATTTATAACCCATTATTATATGAACTTAATCTTGATATATGTAGTAATATTGGCATCCATATCACTAACGCAACTGGAACCCAACAAGCAAGGAGAACCTTTTTAAGTTTTAGCTTTAGAAAAGAGCAAAAGGTAACTCTAATGAAACGACATGACACTATTTTCAATAAAAAGAAATTCAAAGACATGAAAAACATTATGAAATGAGCAATTTGACGTCCTTACAATAGGATGAGCAAGCAGTTCTCCAAAGTTGTAGATGTTATCCCCCAGCAGAGCAGAAAGGGAAAGATCAGATGCCAGATCCTAAAATAAAAAAAGAAGTAAACAAATAAGTTTAAAACATTAACTTAGCTAACAGTGGTATGAACTGTCGTTTTGAAAGAATGCTAAACATGACCCACAGTCTTGGCAAACAAACAAGCAGAGGTTCTAAGTACAGCAAGATGCGTGGATAGACATAAATAGAAAAAAAAAAAATGAACAATCATCTTACCATATTTAACTCTACAAAGAAAGTTTCCTTATTGCAGTGTTTAAGACAGGTCACAAACAGACTAATGTAATTTCCAAGCATAGTTTTAATGCCAAACGTACACATAACTTGATTAGTTGATTCACCCATTAGGAAATTATTTTGGCTATAGGTGAATTGGAGGGGACAGAGCATGAGTAAAATGATTTAAGAGGTAAACAGATTTTGATACAACCCCCTCCCTCAAATCTAGTGCATATGACAATTATTATGGATGCAAAACAATTAGTATACAAATTGCTGAATGTATGAGAAGCCCAAGGCATTGAAACTACAAGAAACAATTAATTCCATGCCCACCATATTAATATATACTTACCAGTTTAAATGAATCTGAAAGAGAATCCACTGATGTGTATGCCAAATAAAGAAGAGCATTCTTATAAAACTCAGCAAATTCTTGGCGGTACTTATGATATTGGGATGAAACCCAATAGTAGCTTGAATAAACAGATGGATCGATATCGGTCATACTATCAAGTGTACTCTTTCCATCTTCAACAAGTTTCTTGCACTCTTTTTGGTCACCTTGCTCAAGCTTGAAGATACCAATTTGCATCTTAATGTAAAGAATTGGCTCTTCTATGCGTTGCTCTCTAGTAGCTTGAAGTTTTTCAATGACGCCTTGAAGATAGCTAATAGCAGCTTCTTTCTCTGAGTATTGGCGAGAAACTATAACAGCAAAATGGGCAAGCTTTAGAAGGTTGATTTTGGTCTCAAAATCTGTGATGAAATTATGATATAGTTGTATCAGAGCATCTCCAGCCTGAAATTTGAAAGAAACAAGAAACAAAGGAAGTAAGATATCCTTGCAAGTATCAACTAGCTAGTGCATAGACTTATACGCATTTAATGGGAAAATACAGACATAAATATAAAACCAACTCAGCTAAAATGAAACTTGTCTACCAAACCCCATTCCAGAATTACAAGACAATTTATCTAAAGATTTACATGCGAAAATCAACTATTATAGAGAGAAAAACACCAAGGATCGCCCTTTTTTCCCTGCTCAGAACACTGAGACTCACAGAAACCTAGCCAAGGAGGTCAAAGAGAGTTGAAATTTGTTGCACATTACATGATTCTCGCTTTCAGAAGTGATGCATCCATATCAAGTTTCTTGGACCTGACCTAGTTCACCACTAATACATTGCACTCCAAACTAGAACTTAGCCGGTTGGCACCCACTAACTTTAAAACCTTAATTCCGCTTCCGGTCAGGAATCAAAGCCTCCGCAACTACCAAAGTTGCACGCTTTCAATATAATTGCAGCATGTACGGACCGTAACAAGGGTAGCAAAGATCCTTTCTACCCTGAATACTTGGTTTAAATTTGACTTCGCGAAAATCACAATGACCAGCAGTATAAAATTGAGATAACACAAGATATGTTCCTTTTCAATTCTTCAAAAAGACCCCGCAGGTTCGAAAGATTCTAATTAAACCCCTAAATTTTAAACCAAGACACTCATTAAAGTAAAAACTAAAAACCCTAACGCTCAAATCCAAAACCCTAACTCAAAGATCTGCAGACCCTCACCATAAAGCTATGCAGCAACACATGAATAAGGTAAGAGCTGAAAATGGTACCTGGAAGATGGCGAGAGCAATGAACTGTTCGAGCTTGAGAGTGAGCTGGTGCCAGAGCTTCTTCTGGTACAGATCTGCCAGGCAATTGTACCAATCGGAAAGCTCCGGGTGCGACTCTCGTAGAGATTCGAGGTATTGCAGAGCCGCCATCGCTCCTCCTTATTCAGCAGACGTACTGAAAGGGGGAAGAACTGAAGAAGAAACCAAAAAGTTTCCGCTGAGTGCTTCGATTATTTATTTATTTATTTAACGTGAAAAATCTCGTTCCCTGTCTTGTGCCCAAAGAAAAGAATAAAAATTTAAAAAAACCTGAAAAAAAAAAATTCGGGTCGGGTGATTTCTGAAAGCCGGCATCGCAGGGTTGGTTTATGGACGGCGTGGGCTGTAATGGGTTCGAGGGTTTTCTTGCGTTTGCGGTTTGCACGTGTCTACAGTTCATGACTTGCTTTCTGGCCCAAAAATATGGGTCCATATATGTCCATGAACTAGCTTTTACGAGAGTTTCTGGCTTCATTTTTTCTTGTTTTTATTTTAATTAGAGTACAGTAATTTGAAGGATAAAACACCAATTATTGAATAGAAGAATCTTTATTTATTACTAATAAAGGTTGGTCTAAGTAAAATAAGTTTGATTTTTTTTAAGTAAGATATCAAGTTTGAGTATTATAAATAAAAAATTAATCAGAACTCAATGTGATTATCTAATACCGAAAAATTAATATAAAAAAAATCTTTATTTATTATCAAGAGCCACTCATCATTATTTATATTTTACAATTTAGTATAATTTAAATTGTAAAATACTTTTATTTGTTTTACTTATTTAGCATTAGATTTTTCTTGTTGATATTTGCAAAAGGAAATCTTCTTTTTTTTTTTTTTTGATAAATCCAATTATGAATGACCAATTACATTGGATCCCGATTAAACAAGAATCGAATCACGTTTGGACCCTATTTGAAAAGAAACTCTCTCAATACATATTTTTTCATTTATAAGACTCGAACTCGAGATCTTATTTAAGAAAAATCAAACTTTTTTTACTCTCTACTCAAACCAATAAATCATTGTTAACTACGTTTTTTTATTAATAAGAGATGAAAAGTGATTCAACTTATAAGAGGAAGGGTTCGTTGACAAGTAAGAAAACTTTTTACTTTTAGAAATTTAACCAGTAGGCGTGAAAGGCTTCTTCTGATCAATTAAACTTTTACTACCTCTCATTGTGAGTATGATATTCTAATAACAGAGGATTGCAAACATGAAACCTCTAAATTGGACTTAATTGCATAACTCAAAAGCTTTAGTAAACTAATTAAGAGAATCAAAACAATCCCAGAAATTTATTTACTCCGCCAACAAAAACTAATTAGGTCCACCAACCAATATAGGGTGTAGAGAGGTGAATTAATCATCTCTCTTTTCTCTCGTGACTTCCACCCAAAGCAAAGTTATTCATGGCATCGCCTTTAGGCGCTTTATATAAACCCCTTAGCCCCCTTCACTTGAGCACAAACTAAAAGCAAGAATGGTGTACTTCAAAACTTTATGCACTTCCCTTGCTCTTTTGCTTCTCCTACTCACCACCTTTGCAGCGATCTGTCCTTCAACGGCTGATGGAGTCAATGCACTTTCAGGAGAAAATCATGGTGGAAAATCACATCAAATATGGAAGAGAAAGGTGCGGATGAACCATGGAAGCTTTCGTGGCCCTCATAAGCACCTTGTCAATCCAACTCTCCAGCATCCATTTCAAGTCCCCAAGCTGCCTGTGTAGTTTCTTGAACGCAGCTGGTTTTCGTAGCAATTTGTTTCTCATGTATATCAACTTATGTTATTGACTTTCCATGGAGAAAGCACATTTTAAGTTCATAAGCTTTGTATGTGGGTCTTTTTTGTCTTTGTTCTTGAAAACGTGTTACCAGCAGTTTATCTGCAAATACATATTCCTCTCCTACATTGCTGCACAAAATTCAGTTTGTTGATTTGCCAATATTCCCAGTTTCTCTGCATTCACAGTATTGCCAGATCTTTCATAACACTGACTAAATCAAAGCTTGTCTGATATGTCATTTCTTGTTCTCAATAGCAAAAAATTGTAAAAATTATTGAACACCAGCAAGGTGAGCTTTCTGTGCCTGGAGACCTGTGGTGTGGAAATGGGATGGCTTGGGAGGAACTCAAAGCACCATATCCATTATGAAAAAGACCAGTTTCTCGGTACCTTGCTGGCAAGACACGCTCTCTCAAAAGGGAGAGGAGGAGCTGACATTTGTTTAAACAGAAAGCAACATGTAAATGTTAGTATAACCATGGCCCAGTTGGGCTACATTGGGAAAACTTCATTAGCTGTATATATTGAAAATTCATACAAAACGTACATTGCAACTTCAATGTGATTTATTGGATATACATATTGTAAGAGGGAAACATGAATGCTCAACTAAATATGGAAATAGGAATATAATATGACATTAAACCTTATATCTGTAAATTTATGCCAAGTAGAATTCCAAATGAGAGCAGATATCAGATTTTAGATCTCAGATGCATTACATTCCTCGAGTAGATTTAATAATTTATGTTCTGGGGCACTTAGAGATGGTAAGATCATGCGGTTTAATTGGGTCTGCCGTTGTTTTGGCCTAGCAACTTCAGATTCAAGGGCGCCCACATCCTTCACAACTGGTAAATCGCTTCTCATTCTCTGGGCTGATACTCGCTCCTTCCATAATCTTCCATCCTGATGATGGAGGAAATACATGTTATAACTTAATTATAAAAGCTTCCACTGAAAAATTTTATGACAACAACTTAGGAGATGTATTGCACAAAATTCCACATGAAATAAAAAGATTTTCCTATATTCCATCATTGTTCAACATACAAATGCCAAACTGCAGGAAGCCAATAGTGCTAGCCCTGAGCATTAAAAGTAATTCTGACTTACTGAGCAATTAATCAACTGACATTATCAAAATAAAATTCATGGTAAGATCTATACAGCTTCCCAACCATGCATGACTCCATGAAAACTAATCCAGTGCTAAATTCAAGAAATTTTGTGTTCGGTTCATGGCTCAATAGCATCAACTCCTATTGAAAATCACTATGGTCTACTAGGGTAATCCAGGAAAATCTATGTTTGCCATTAAGCACCTATGCTTCATTTTCCAGAATTATTCAAATCAGATGTTGAACAAAACTGGCTATGTAGCATCCAAAAATTTTCATAAAGCAAAAATTCAACATGTGGTAGCAATGGCAAGGAAGTTGGCATCAAGTGGATAGTGTTGCAAGCAAAAAAGACAAGGAACAACAACAGTGGAACAATAAGAGGGAAGACAACAAAGACTGCACATTGCAATTATTTACAAGGACACTGTTAGATTTATCCTGGCCGACAACATGCAGCAAGATTGTGCCATTGTCGGCTGTTGGTGGATAACAACACTTGTGTTGTTGATACAAGCAGTGGCAAGCATGTTGCTTAGTTGTAGAATGGTGACTCCCTTGTGGTCCAGTAGCCAAGAGGACATGGTGTTTGATTATCACCACTGCTTTGCTGGGGTCATACTCATCCACTAACTTTAAAACAAAAATACATTATGCCCTCAGCGAGTTGGTGTTAGGCTAGAAAGTATGAATCAACTGAAAGCACATTAAAAAAAAAAAAATCCCTAAGAGGCTAAGACAACTCGTTCCTTTTATCCTGGAAAGAAAGATGGATTGAAGGAACCTTGACTACAACTAGGAGATGAAACAGTCTAATGTCACAACGCAAACCATTTCAAAGGCCTTTTAACCTATAAAACTTCCATATGCTACCTTAATGTCATAGACTGAAATAAATTTCCTGTAGACTCTAAGATCAGCATGTATTGACAAGAAAAGCAACCAGAAAATCCATGACCAACATGCATCTATAAGCAAAATGGGGCATAAAAAACCTAAAAATGGAGACAAATTCTAAAACTTACATTTAGAATTGAAGGTTCAGGAAGTGGGCATTGGATTGGTCGATCATTGTCCAAAGGCTCAACCGGATGTTCAACCGGCTTAAACTCCGCTGCTACTTCAATCCCATGAGCAGAGGCAACAGCAGTACCTGCAGTAGATGTAACCTCTGAATTTGAGGGCAATACTTCTCTTTCCTCCTGCGCCAAATAAAAGGAAATTTCATGATTGAGTCATTAACAATAATAAAAGGAAAGTTCCACAATAAATGAAGAAATATCTACAACAAATATCCAAAAATTAAGTGCAATCCATGACATTTTGTCAAGAAATGGTAAAAAATCCATCAAATTTATAGCAAACAGTGGAACAACAGCCATACAACACCTAAAAATTCCAACTTTTCCAAACCAAATCAAGCAAAAACAATGGCGGATTCAAAAAAACCAATACCCAACAAAAATTAAACAAAAGCAAACCCATAGATTCATGCTCCGGATTCCAACAAAACAAAACTTGCAGAAGATAAATAAGAAACAGAACCTATAGTTATTACCAGAGAACTCTGAGTTCGCCGGTGGCCAGCCCTACCAACGGAAAACCTCGAGAAAATACCAACCATGTTGTGTTTTCCCCTTCAAGCCCGTAATTCCCAGAAAAAGGGAGTGGCGATATCGGCTCCGTTTCACCTCCGAATCGCTCCGTCTCTCAGAGAAGATAAGTGGTGGGCCTTGACTTTGCGTAATGGGTTTTGTCTGTTGGGATTCTCTGGAGTGGCGTAACTGGCGTTTATTTAATGCAGTAAAATTACTACACAAAGCATTAATTTTGTATTAGAAGTTGCACGGAGAAAAGGTAGAGTTATACTATGAGAATCGAGTGAAAAGATAATGAAGAAAAAGGAGGAGTGGGATAAAGGGAAAATGTGGGAGAGAACCTAATTGGCGGATTAAGCTGTAAGCAGAAGCTGAACTATGTTGACTTCCAAGGTGGGGGGAGCTTGAGAGAGCGTACAAGATAGATGCGAGAAAATGGGAGATTTATTTTGTGTTGTGTCAGTGTCTTCGGTTCCGGTGACCCACCGCCACCGCGTCAGTTAGGAAAGCTGGCCTCACGCGCAATATCAGGGGGTCTTGAATCACCGTCACCGCTCTTTGTCAAACCCAACCCAATTGTAGTAGACTATTGGGTCAAGTCACAAAAAGGCTATTTGGGTCATCAGACATGCCCGGCCCAAAAAGTTCAGAATATAAACTTTTGCCAAAGAAAGAAAAAAAAGTAATAGAGAAAATTGAAAATCATTCCGCTCTAACATGTAAAGTCTCAAAATTGTACTTGAAATTATTCAAACATTCTTTTGTTTTTAATACTAACTATTGGTATTTGAAAACTACAAATTAATCCAATGTCGAGTCATCTTAGATCCTATAAGAAAAAAACTTTCTTAACATTTATTTATTTATTTATAAAACTCAAATTTCGTACTTTGAAAACCAATATCTTTCCAATACTATTTCTAATGAGATTATGCAGCCCAATCTAAGAAAAAAATGTTTTGGGATTTTATTCTTGGGCAAACTTTATGGTGGGTCTATCTTACTTCAAATAAAATAAAGATTGAATTTTAAGTTTCATATCAATAGAAATACTGTAATTATATTTTTCATGAGTATATTAAAATTTTGTAAAAGATTTATAATAACTTTTTTTTGGCAAATAGTTAAAATGGTAGATACTCATTGATTTTAATTAAATAAATATTTCATTTTTTTTTTTGAAAAAGGAGAAAGAACAATAAGCAAAATTCTTCATTTCCTAATAGTATATATTTAGTTTGAACAGAACTCCTCTCATCATTAGATAAGTAAATGAATTAAAAGGAAAAATAAAGTAAATGGTTTTTTTTCCCTCCCTTCTACTTCAATGCTTTTGGTAACCTAATAAAGGAAATTTCTCTCCTCAACTCTCCTCCGTTCTCTTTAACCTCAACATCCTATTAACTTTTATTATTTTAGTTAATGATTTTTATTCTAATAGTTCAACCTAATTCAAAAATTCAATTTTGGTTACTAAAATTTTGATTTTTCTATTAATATGATTTATTTAATTAAACAAATTCTTTTAATCATTTTAAGCGAAAAATTCTTATAATCTTTAATCATTAACTAAAAGAAAAATATTATAGATAACTAAATTTTTAATTGAAATCATCAAACAAAAAAATTAATTTTAAACATCAACTTATTCAAAATTGAATAAAATACGAAACAAAGTAGTGAGAAAAAAAATGATGAGAGAGTTTTTGATTTTTTTTATAATAATTTAATTAACTAATATTAATTAAAAAATTAATTTATTTTAAATATTACATTAAAAAAATATTATAAACATTATCAACATTCATAATACTTATAATAAATACCATTAGAGTATTTACATTTACATAAAATTTAAAATATATACTTCACTAAATGAGGAAAAAAAATAAAGTGTATCATAAGAATCTGATCAAGTGGAAACTTTAACCACATTTGTAATGTTCATATTTCAATGCCAACTGTTCGAACTAGTATCATGATTAAATGTTGAAAAAAAAAAAAAAGTGTACCATAAAGAAATTTTCCCATTATTATTCATTTCTGCACTATGTCCCTCGGTTCACCGGGCACCATCTCCCCAGAACTCTCCAAGGAATACACCTCCCATTCTCCGTTCCTACAATAGGTGAAATACACTTCCGGAATCCGTTTAACCCTGCAGTAATCTCCACCATCTACTCCGGGACGAAGGGTGTTGATCAGCTCCTCCATCTCAAAGAATTCAAGCGCTTTCAGCATGCTCAGATGTTCAATGCCCAACGGTACCTTCTCCAACGATTTGCATCGCAGTATACTCATCTTTTCAA